CATTGACTTGCCTCTGGAAAATGAGATATTTTACTAGACCAGATATAAGATAAGAATTTATTACATACGCCTCAGAAAAGTTCTTATTTAGTATATTCGAAGTGATGCCTCGGAGTCTGTCCACACTAGCTTACAATTATTCAATTAAGACTCAAGCAGTACAGGTGTTAGCTTTTAGAAAAGCGTTTTGGACGCACCATGAAAGCTACATCACAGATCACTATCTATCAGCTGTTAAAAAGCAGTCCAAGGTAAGTTTTACAAAATGGATGGTTTGATATTATGAATGCATTTCAACTATTATTATGAAGATGGAGTCACTCCCAATATACAGATGCTAAGCTATCTGTGGCACTTAAGAATCTGAATAGTTAAACGTTAGATATAAAGCTACACCCTACCGCATATTATAGTATATACTACCACGTATTTGTTATTATCTTGAATGTAAAATGAGTTGAAAAATACTAATAGAATTTTTCATTTGAGTTTGCATGTCGGGTAAAAAACCACAGATTTTTAGGCATTCAGACAAAATTGAGAATCGAATTCTCGTCACTTTGCTTTGTACATTCCAACAACGGACATTTCGACAGTAGTTACATGGGACTTTCATTTCAGATTACGTCACAAGTAAATCACAAATTTTGTAAACCAGCACGATGAGATTGTCAAGAGAGTATGATTTTACAGGTGAACTGACAAAGAGGGATGAAAACTAAGAAACCCATCAACAGGCAGGTCTAGGGCCCCTCCACGATCACATATGATGGATTTAGATAATAGTGTACATTCAGTCTACAGTTTTGAATTAAACTACGGTCATTAAATACTTTTTTGTAAATGAATAATACAGGAATCCGCAAGAGTTCAACAGCCTGCAGAGCAGCTTAGACAAACTTATTTACATTTCCAGATTAGGAGTAAACGTTAACTTGGATTTACAGGTTGAGCTTGTGTGCCAGCTAATAACCAATATTGAAAGTGAATTTAAGTAATCTTTAAAGTCATGAGCGGTATAAACTGGTGCATAAGAGCTGGTCACTAAAATAATTACTATTTTACTGAGAGTATACTCACGTTCATATTAGTATAACTGGATTTAAGTCACTAGTGAAACTAGAGGGCTCAACAAACCGAAGGTGGGGAAAAGCGTCATGGTTTTTTGGGTCTTCTTACTACCATTTCGGTTTGCAGTCAAGGTTTTGAGATATATTAGTCTATTATTATATGATTTTTGGATTAATTACTCGTCATAGAAAATGACGCGAACTAACTACACCTAAAACAGTGGTATTCAAAGGTTAATGGTATTTTAATCGTTGAGCGAATTCCTCAGTTTTGAACGTTTTAACGCATTAATTCCTTTTGTTTTTGTTCTGACTGTATTATACTTAAAGTATTAAAATGCAAAGTTTTTGGGCATGCACACCTCAAGTGTGCATGAACATTTAGCTTGGTAGTTTCAAACCAGTAGCATTCAGTAACTGTCACCAATAAACAATGCTAAAGATGAGAAGGCAGAAGGAATGTGATGAAATAAGTTTTGTTTTGAACATAAATAAACGTTAATTTCACGGGTCGAATCCCAAATATATTCTTAGTAATCACGAATGTCACTACCGCATCAGGAGAGCAATCAACTGCCATCAAAAAAGTGAACCCCAAAATACGATAACGGTTGAAACTAACAACTCAAAAAACCACTAAAATCAAGTGGACTAACTACAAAACATGTTTACATCAGACACAGAACGCTCATTATTGAAATGACTAATCCTAGAGAGCACAGCGACTATATGTGTCAAAGAAAATGTCTTTGAGACTAAGTCTAATGATGTAATAGAGGCGGATTCAAAGAATGTAAACATTAACTTCTATTAGTCCCATTATATGCGATTCAAGATAAACAAGACCAACAGCCGACCAAACACCTTGCTCATCAACCTGAAACACCGCTCCAGACTACATGTTGGAGCTTTTAATGAACGGACATTATGTCAAAAAGGGCAACAGGCTTCGTTAGCTTGGACATTAGAATCTCGCTCAATCGATGTATGCTGCGTCTCGGAAACGCGCATGCAGGATCCTAGTAAAATCATTAATTTGATTTCACCTTGTCAGAATAAAGAAGCAGACCGATTTACTATTCACGTAACCGGTAGCCCTGATGCTGCTTCCCGGGGTCTCGCTGGTGTAGGAATAGCATTGAGTCGTAGGGCTGAACTATCTCTCTTAGACTGGATCCCTGTAGATAGACGATTGTGAGCTGTCCGACTGAACGGGACAGTAAGGACATGTTGCTATATGTAACATTATCCTCGTCCGACTTCCCAGGAGTCGACTTTCTACTAGGAATATCGCTTACTGACCTAGAATATGCCGATGACATAGTCCTACTTGGTGAAGACGCTGACAAAATGCAGTCTTCTGACCACCCTAAGCAACAATGCAAGCATGTTCGGGATGCGGTTCTCACCCTCGAAATGCAAAATGTTGCTTCAGGATTGGGTTGCATCGGCACCTGAACTAGTGATAGGGAGTGAAGTAGTCGAACGTGTGGACCGCTTCACTTATCTTGGGAGTCTCATCAGTGCTGATAGCCTGGTGACTGACGAAATCTCAGCACGGATACAGAAGGCTCCATTGGCTCTTGCCAACCTGAGTCACCTATGGCGCAGGCGAGATATCCGTTTGCTCACTAAAGGAAGAGTGTACTGTGCAGCAGTTCGCTCCGTCCTACTATACGGATCCGAAACATGGCCGTTAAAAGTAGAGGACTTCCGTAGGTTACTAGTCTCTGATCATCGGTGTCTTCGAACCATTGCTCGTATATCATGGGACAACCGTATAAGCATTGCTGTCGTTAGGAAACGAGTACTAGGTAGGAATAGCTGATCAATAGATGAAGTAGTGAAACTTCATCAGTTGAGGTAGCTGAGACATGTGTTACGTATGCCTAACCACCGACTGTCGCGACGAGCTATGTTTTGTGGTGTAGGAGTAGGTTGGAAGAAAGCTAGGGGTGGCCAAACCGAAACATAGCACAAGTCCATGAAGTCACTGACAAGTGAACTGAGTCATGTTGGTAGATGTAGGCTACCTGGTTGGGGTCCGCGAGACGAATGTCACCAATGGTTAGAGACTTTTAACGACATGGCTCAGAATCGTTTGCAATAGCGCAGGTGCATCCAATCTTTGAGTTCTCTCTAACTCTAACCTTCTGAATTCCTCATAATCTCTATCTTTCTCCTTCTAAATTTATCTCACTGAATTAAATTTCTCGAATCGTATCTTCGCCACCTATTCCTCTCCATTACTGCTAATACTTCTACTATCAATATCAATCTTAAATTTGAACTGACAGTTGCGTCCCTGTGCTGATGTGGTATGGCAACCTGAACTGATGTACTTACGTACGAAGTTCTGAGTTGCATCTGTCTGTCTGTCAACCTGTTAGTGGAATCTATTATTCAGTAAGTAGCATGAAACTGATCAACCTAAAATTCAGCAACTCCCATTGGTAAGTAGAGAGCAGATACATTGATAAAAGAACGTATACAATGCACATAGTTAGAATATAGATATTTACCCACTATAACTGCTAGGGGATCTTCCACAGAAAGGCGGTTGAGGCTTAACTATAGTGGGGTAACGACCTGAAAATACATGGTCTCAATGTGCTAGTGATGGGGACCGATGCTTTGAGGTTGCTTTTTCATGACAGACATGTTGCATGTTTACAAGGGAACGGCTCGCAACCCATATGGACTCTAGCATAAGTATCACAAAGTACATCAGCGTTTGATCTGGCAGGGTTGTAGATCATTTGAATATGTTGAGCGCATATACTTCGGGTATACAAGATCAGTTCACTAACTGCTAATAATCTGTACCCACAGCGTACCTTCACAATAGGTTGCTCTTCCAAACACAAGTCCTAAGGGGTTGGAGAAATGTTGTGTCTAGCCTTATTTTTAAACGCATGAATATAAAACAAGTGCCTACATTGAGACCTATAGGCCTAACTAACAGTGGTCCACGCCAAAGTACTTCGGAATAATCCTTTACACAATTATTAAATATGTGGATTGCAGAGAAACATTTCTGAATTACTAACCTACTTGCAGAGAAGATTGGAAGACAGTCTAATTTGGGGGCCTGCAAATGACCCCTTTGTGACAATCAACACTAAGACTACTGTAAATCAAAATAGAAAATCTATAGTTATTTTTCGCAAGGGCATAACCCGAATGCGACTAGGCTAGTGAAGCAAGGACAATTTAGTCACAGTAAGATAACTGTCATAAATAAATTTACAACACAAGAGTAGGTGAGAAACTACGCTCGATGTATCGACATAGGTGGTATGTGGACGTTACCATTAGCATGCAATATACAGGCCCTATGCATATTATATATAGATATATATTTACATATATATATAGACATTATCAGATACTAATTGCATTTGAACACGTGCAATCAACTTTATTACTTACTAAAATAATTGATGTGCATTCCAATTTTAAAACTAGCTAACGAACATGTTTTAAGTAGCAGAAGTCGAAGTATCCGTAATTAGGACATTGACAGAGGTATTATGATATTTATTTAGTGAATTTAACAAGTTTAATTTTATGATTACATATTTAGACAGTACTACAGAGAAGCAGTTAGGTAATTTAAGCAAACTTTTTACTGAGTTTAGTGGTATTTGACTGGCGAAGAGAAACATGAAATGCACCTCTGGCTTCATTGTCATTATTGATTATTTTTGTTGACGGAGCCTCATGGTCAAATTAGTTATTTACCCGAAATTATTGTGATCATTATTGATTCCCGGACGCGCGTAGGGATGGCCTCGGCCTCGTCCTCGAGGTTCTGAGATGCTGACTTTCCCCCATGTGTCGTCTTGTCCTAGATTAAAAATTTAGACCTCAATTAAACCCGCAAAGAGCTGCACAAAACACAGAAAAAAGTAAAGCTACCCGACCTACCGTAGTTTGTCCCGAAGTCCTCGAAAACATTTGAATTGAAATCGGTCTGCTCATATAGTGTTATTGGAGGGTAAGCAACTGTATTAACATCATTGGTAAACACTTCGGGAGCCACAGGAACCGGTGGTTGAACAGAAACGCCATTCTTAGCAACACCCCTTCCTATCCAGGGTTTGCCTCGACCGCGGAAGGGGAGCTGCATTTGAGGTGCAGGAAAGGAAACTTGGGGCGGTGGGCCACGTAACGGAGGGCGTATGGGTCTCACAGGAACATTTCTCCCAGCCACGGGCAGCGGCTGGTTTTGCTGAACCCACTGCTGAGTTGTGGATTCTGTTTGTTCCTAAAGACTTACATAACCATGAAAGGATAACTCACTGGTAGCATAATCTTCCGTACTTCCGCTAGTGCATGGGCTAACCGATAACACGATTCGGAGGGTGGTCCTAAACTATCAACTTGTAAGTGCAGTTTCTGTTTGAGGTGCTGATACTTCGGATCACCATTCGAAAGTAGCTGCTTTTCCTTAGCGTCATCTCTCAAACTGCCAGCACCTAAGATCGCCATTTTAGTTTTGGTAGTTTCTTGCACCGCTCTTAACGTCTGACCCCCAGGGCCAAGAAGTTTCCCAACAAAATTAACAGTAGGGTATTGCGACTGCGGTATCTCTATTTTTGCCCTTACTTTCACTGGTTTGTTACTGACCAAGTCAAATGAGTCCGCAATGCCGCCACGCAGACGAAACAGCTCTGGAATTTAAACGTCAGAGGTAATACAGGCATACCATTTTCCGCCAAAGAGTACAAAGCAGGAAATGCGTTGCTATCTAAGTTCTGTAGTTCGCGTACTAGAGCTTCAACTGTAGCCGACTGCTCTGGTCGGAGTTCGCCAATCTTCATTCTGTCCAAAGTATGACACTATGGCCGACCTTCAAAGTGTTAAACAACAGATGCTTAGCAGAAATGCTATTGATAACATAAATAATAATTATATACTAACAGAATGTGTTCCTTGAGCTTAAAATGACTAGTTTGTATAAATTATAATTCGCCAATATTGCAGGTAGGTACGATGTTCAATAACTCTGTCTCACATATCTCTAACCGTGTCGTGATGAAAAATGCTTGCTGGATAGTTTGTAAGACTTGGGTGAGATTCTTCTGGCCGTGTTATCCTTAGCAGAATCGACAAGTAGTGGGAAGCCGATTGATTCGAGTATTAATTAATATGTAAATGTCCTTTTCTGATTATTCAGTAACACTCATTCAATAATAAACGGGAAAAAGCGAAGTCAGTAACCTCATCATTGGAATCATATTGATCTCGGTTTAAATATCTTAGAGAACGTACTTAGTCAAAAAATCTACAAACTTCTTCATTGTGTGTTGTATAGAAAAAATGAATCGCAAGTCTAATCATGCAAAAATTGAAGCACCTACGGTCACAAGACTCCGAGTAACGTTCGATAGCCCTTGATTGGTAAATAAATTCTCAGAATAAAGGGTTCCTTAAGTCTTCGACATTGATATTGACCTCATTCGTTCTGCCTGACAGACCATTTCTGAAGGCACTCGGTCACGCATTTACACCGATCTATGCATCCCAACGTATCAAATATCAAGCTTAATTGGTGCACCCCTTCACATTCCAACCAACCTCCGAACATATCTCCAACCCTCCTCATTCCTGACCTCTGGTTTAACTTAGTTTGTGGTATTCTCGATCTGAAAAGTGTTATGAACTTCCCTGCTTGTCCATGACATCCTCACATTGCTAGTGGAGAGAATTTTCTGTCGAAAAGACACTTGATGACATGAGCAGAATGTGAGGCTACTGTCTTTCATACCACATTCATACCGCACTCTCATCAAGAATATCTCGTAAATAACGGTAATTCTCTGAATTAATATTATCGATCAAGGTTTCCAATAAAACAAGAACCCCGATAATGCTATCTATGAGTACCAGGTCACAGAGCAGTTCTTGAAACTTTAGAGTATATTGCTCCGACACGTCGTAAGAATAGCTAGGACGGACAGGAACCATAGACTGAAATTATTGAGAATGACATTTCCCTTATTCCGTATGTGTCAATCTTGGTAAATCTCTATAGTGCTTAGGATGACTATCTGGAAGTTAAAGACGTCCACTAGGAGCATTGTATATAGAAAGAGTAGTGCCAACATCGATCACGACAGACATATGATGGAGAGACTAGAATGAGATATTTGATTTGGATGCACCAAGCTTCGATTTTCCAATTATTAAATTCGGTAAATTCATGTGCAATGGAGAATACAACTCCAATGAACTTCAATTCTTAAAATATATAAAGAATATCAAATAACGGAAACTATTGAGTTCAAAAGGTAGTAGAAGAGTAGTACGACGATATCATTTACGGAATTATTTACGACAAAACCCCATATGGAGCATAGGCCACCGACCGATATTCTTTAACCTACTCTGTCTTCGGCTCCCCCTTTCCAGTTCTGTTCAATTTTTGTTCATTCTCCTCATATCTTTCTCTATTTCTCGGCGTAATGTGTTTATCGGCCCTCCTCTTTTCCTTCGACCTAGAGGATTCCAAGTGAGGGCTTATCTTGTGACGCAGTTGGGTGCCTTCCGCAATGTATGTCCAATCCACTTCCACTGCGCCTTCCTGATTTCCTCCTCCGCTGGAATCTGGTTTGTTCTCTCCCACAGTGGGTTGTTGCCGACGGTCTGGCTAACGGATCCGAAGTATTTTTCGCGGACAACTGTTAATAAATCCTTGTATCTTTTGGATGATGACTTACTTAGTTCTTTGAAATTCCGCTGCATACAGTAGGACAGTCTTGACAGTTGTATTGAAAATTCTGATTTTGATGTTTGTTGACAGTTGTTTTGAGTTCCAGATGTTGTTCAATTGTAGGGATGCAGCCGTTGCTTTGCCTATCCGCGCCTTCACATCTGCACCGAGATCTTCAACACAAACGTTTCTGATCAGTTAAACCAGGCTGTTACGTCCAAGTTTTGCTCCTTCCCGTTATTGAAGTACAGTATGTCGATCTATTTGCAATTCACGAACCCAAATTAACAACAGAACAAAACTTCAAAATTAGGTACCAAAGTTTATTCGCAATTCACAAATAGTCGACCAAAATGTCGTTCTTCAATTTTATAGGTTCCTGGAGCAAAAGCTCCCAATTCGCAAACCAAGACAAACAGAAACCAAAATGTCCGAAAATAAGAAATCAAACAAGTTCATAAGTTAAGTAAAACAAATATACCCAAAAAACACAGTTAAATTAATGATATTTGTATAAAGGTTTTAATCAGCCAAATGTCTTCATTTCTCCCGTAACACTCCCGACTAAAAGAACCTTGGTTCTTTTCACCGACAGAAATAGGTAACAACAATCCAAGTATGTGCATCACAAGCAATCAACAACAAATATTCAATATGCCGACAATCTCATGATCCCTAGGACTTACACCAGTACGCCTAGGGATCCGAGTAGCTACCTACTATCTACCGCTTCAAGAAGACACAGTTTACGTATATCTCTCGCTAGGATCCCCTTTCTCGTCCTCAGTTCTACCTGTCTCACTAGTCTATCCTGACTTGGTATCACTCTCTGTACTAGACCTAAGGGCCACTTGTTTTTCTCAGAGAAGTCAGAACATATCACTACTAAGTCACCCTCTCGTATGTTCCTCTCTAATTGTGTCCATTTGTATCTACGCTGCAACAGCGAAACATATTCCTTAAACCAATGTTTCCAAAATACTTGCGCCAGGTAACTCGCTTGTTTCCATCTCTTAGAATACCTGTCATTAGATAGAGTGTTAGTGAATTCTGCAACATTCTCTCTCAATAGTAAGTTTTGCTGGTGTTATTGCATCAAGATCCTTCGAGTCGTCTGTAACGGGAACCAAAGGTCGATAGTTAATTATACGCTCCGCCTCTATCATAAAAGTTTCAAGGCATTCATCTGTTAATATTTGTTCCTTTACAAGAGCACCCAATACCCTACGAACAGAGCGAATCATGCGCTCCCACACTCCACCCCGATGACTAGCAGCTGGAGGATTGAAATGCCAGTCAATTCCTTTTCTTAGTAAATCAGAATGTATACGTTACTGTACCCAACCTTGAAGACATTTTCTTAATTCACGTTCAGCTCCCACCAAATGTGATCCATTATCACTATAAATCTCTTTTGGATAACCTCTTCTGCCGACAAATCTCATCAGTGCAATGATAAATGAGTCGGTGGTAAAACTATATGCCACCTGCAGATGCACAGCTCTCAACGTTAAACAAGTGAATACACAACCATACCGTTTCTCAGTATTTCTACCATGTTTAACCATAAAGGGTCCAAAATAATCTACCCCGACTGATAAGAACGGATAGTCACTACCTTCTATCCTGAACGCAGGTAATGGTGCCATTAGTTGTTGAATGGGATGGGCGTTCCTCCTTTTACAATAAACACAATCCTTTATCACTCTCCTCATGGCTACACCACCCCTCAGCACCCAAAATCTTTCTCGGACCGTTGCCATTACCTGTGTAGCTCCGACATGTCCCTCCAAAACATGGTAATACCGTAGAATCAAATCTGTAATCGTATGCTTCGATGGTAATATTATAGGATGCTTCCTCGACTCGGACCAGGAACTAATTTAAAGTCGGCCACCGATACACAATAATCCGTCTATAATTATTTGATTTAAGGTTTGTAAGGGTGAATTTGTTATTTTCACTTTGCCATTGGTATCAGACAACAACATTTCAATATCTTTCCGAAATACTATGCTTTCGACATATCGAATTAAATCTAAACAAGCTAAATCTAGCTCATCAAATCTGAGCATACCCACCTGTAGAGACAAATCATTTCTGCCGGAATACATTATTAATAAATATCGCTTAAATCGGATCAACCATGCAACAGCCTTAAGTAATCTGGTCCAATCTGAATAATAATTAATAAGTAGATCAACTGTGGATTCTCCAACTATTACATGCGTGGATATTACCTTCTTTAATTTCAAGCGATGGGGTTCAGGACCTTGTACATCCGCATCAGGCCAACACACCTTTGACTTCTTCGAAAAATGTGGTCCCTCCTCCCATACCTTGACATCATCAATGTAGAACTTGGCTCCTCTGGATGCAAAGTCTGCTATGTTTTCCTTAAAAGCTACGAATCTCCATTGCTCCACCTTTGTAAGACTGTGGATAGTCGAAATCCGGTTTGCTATGAATGTTTTGAACTTGCTTTTCTCATTTCTAATATAGTGTAAGACAATCATGGAATCCATCCAAAACATGACTTCTGCAAACTTAATATCTGACTCGTACTGCAGCTGGGACCCCATACGTTGCACATTAATTGCTTACTTACTCCTGTTACCTTCAGTGGAGCATAGGCCACCGACCGATATTCTTTAACCTACTCTGTCTTCGGCTCCCCCTTTCCAGTTCTGTTCAATTTTTGTTCATTCTCCTCATATCTTTCTCTATTTCTCGGCGTAATGTGTTTATCGGCCCTCCTCTTTTCCTTCGACCTAGAGGATTCCAAGTGAGGGCTTATCTTGTGACGCAGTTGGGTGCCTTCCGCAATGTATGTCCAATCCACTTCCACTGCGCCTTCCTGATTTCCTCCTCCGCTGGAATCTGGTTTGTTCTCTCCCACAGTGGGTTGTTGCCGACGGTCTGGCTAACGGATCCGAAGTATTTTTCGCGGACAACTGTTAATAAATCCTTGTATCTTTTGGATGATGACTTACTTAGTTCTTTGAAATTCCGCTGCATACAGTAGGACAGTCTTGACAGTTGTATTGAAAATTCTGATTTTGATGTTTGTTGACAGTTGTTTTGAGTTCCAGATGTTGTTCAATTGTAGGGATGCAGCCGTTGCTTTGCCTATCCGCGCCTTCACATCTGCACCGAGATCTTCAACACAAACGTTTCTGATCAGTTAAACCAGGCTGTTACGTCCAAGTTTTGCTCCTTCCCGTTATTGAAGTACAGTATGTCGATCTATTTG